ACGGAGTCGCTACCCGTTCTGAACGGAGGAGGCAGACAGCGCGATGCCATTACAGCACGTCAGAAAAAGACAAAATATTATCAACTTCGATGCGTCCATTGGTGTTGAAATAAATTTTATATAAACGTTTATTGCTTATTACACCTTATTCCAACAACAGAATCGGCAGCAAGATAAATCAGGGAAATTTGCAAATACGATAACTGCACACCCAGAGCAATCTGCTGTCAGCCACCTGATTAGATTTTAGCTAAACCTTTGCTCACTGGAAGAAACACCTAATCTGAAAAATTCACAAGCGACGAGATTACAATTTATTACCTACAGTAAATTGGATGAAACTTTGATAAACAATGACAAAAGACCGCTCTACTTTATACTCCGTGACTGAAGATAGAGTATTTTATTCATAAGTTGGTGATCATACTGAAAACAGTATAAAAATACGGTTTAATTTTACACAACGCAAGTAGTATGGCCAGTGCGATGACTGGACATTTCAAACGTTTCGGTCCAAGTCTCATGGCCGTTCTTCAAGCTGGAATAGGTTCATTTCTGAAGTTCTCTTCATGTACTGTAACTGCTGTAAGGTTTCGATAGAGAAGGCAGCTGTTTGGTTCGTGCTGCTGGTGAAATAGTTTTTGGACTACAAGGACGACGTCTCATCGAATACGCGTAGAGTTACTCTTCTTTGTCCTGATTGACGCTGATACGGGACTGGGTGATTAATACCTCTTTGATACATCTGTTCTGCCAGCTTATTCGTTTGATACTGCCGTTGCAATCTGACTATCCGGGAGTGTGACCTCTCTTGGCCGCGTGCTGCACAATCCTGGAGGCCTTTTTGCATTGACTTTTAACCTAATTTGAAGAGAAGCTTTGTTTTCTTCATGGGGAGGGTATCTTAGTACCACATGTCAGTTTATTAGAGCTTTAACATACTACGTTAATATTATATCTCTGTTGTCATCAGTTCTGGCGCAATTTTTTATGGAACATCTAGAAACACTGGCATTCACCACCTCTGACACGAAGATCCATCCCCTATTGTTCAGAAAGTACGTTAATGATATATTCGCTGTATGTTAAAAAGATATGGACTCACTCTTCTTGGACCACATTAACACTCTGTATCTACGGGAAATCATATTTACGATGGAGTTGGAACAACATAACTCGATACCATAGCACTCATGAT